ATGTAATAAATGAAACAACACTTTTGCAGACTTGTTTCCCTTTTCTTTTTCTAGTTTTTCCTTCCTTTCCTTTTCATGGAGGAAAAGATTCTTTTTTGTGGGTTATATTTGATTCATGGATCTCTCTGTATAGTTTTGTGGAATCTTGAAAGACGGATTTCTGGGGTTGTGGATATGCTCGCCGAACAAGTTCAATAAGGTACCTTACTTGTTTTTTCAATGAACTAATAGACAAGATCTTAACTCCTTTTTTTTTTTATTTGGTCTTTAAATAGTCTAATCTATGCTATCAGTGTAATGTATTGTTTTGTTGATTTCAGGTTTTGAATTTTGCGGTGCTTTTGAAGGTTTTAGGATTTGGGTTTTGTGAATAGAGCCTCCACTTAAAAGTGATTTGCTACTTAATTTCTTACTTACTCGAGGGTATATAATAGTGAAAATGACTTGATTATCTGAATTTTGGATGTTTGAAACCAAGGTTACAATAAAGTTTAGAGATCAGGTGGATACATATAAAGAAACTAATTTGGTTTTGTTAATTTTTTTGTGAATCTGTGATACTCAAAAGTCAAAACTCAAAAGAGGATTAGATAAATAATGGAATATTTTGTTCATATATTTCCATCGTGAAGTTGGATATTTGGCAATTGGAAGTATCATTGAACTTTGTGAGGAGACAATGCAATTGTAAATTTGGCGAAAGGAAAAGAAGAGTTTCAGAAAAAAGAACCATCGAAATTTTTTCTTGCTGCTTATAATTTTAATAAAATAAAATTAATAATATATCGGTACAATTTGCTTAAATGATCGGGCTATTATGATTGTTGATGGTCAACGGTCCAGGTCAAGGTCAAGTTTCGCGGCTCCGCCCTAGCTGAACTTCGCTGTTGGATTCGCCACTGTTAATGCTCCAAAGAATCAAGTCTTACATCATAAGTGCGCATTACACTATTGAAAGTATCATTTGCTATTCTCCCTAATCTTTTACACAACTTTTCAACTTCACGCTTCATCAAATTCTATCAAAATCTACTAAAGATATGATATTTAGTTAAACCAAGGGGCTAAAATTTAAACCGACTTTACTCACACATTTGTGGTACTCGAACTTGGGAACTCTACCTCTAGAGCTCAACTTTAGCTCTCACTTTTGTACTTCGAGGTGTTAACATTTTAGTTTTGCGTTAGGACCATTTTATAGAAAAACTGATGGCAGAAATTACTTTGCATAAAGCTTGGTCTGTAGACACAGAAAGACTGTCCACTCTCACTTCCACTTTACAATATTATCACTTTGGTTTTAAAATTGAATCATTGTTTCTGCAGGCCTTTCTAGAGATAAGGCTTGAGGAACAGTATAAGAGGCTGGGGCAAGTCCGTCATTACATTTTTACTGACTCGGATATTGCAGTAGTAAATGACCTGGGAAAATGACTATCCTAATTTCGATATCGCTGTTACCTTCCGAAACAACAAAGAGCAACCTCTGAATTCAGGCTTTATAGCAGTGAGGGGCACTGCTGAAGGAATTCATTATTTTTCTGTGATTTAATCTCGCGGCATGAAAGATGAAAGAAGGTTCCTCTTTCACGTCTAAGATCCACTGCACAAGCATCCACGAAATGCCTAGGGGATCGGTTAGAAAGTGGGCAGAAATTGTGCCTTTTTGGAGGCGTCCTCTTTTTGGAGGCAATACTTGAATTTAAGATCATGTTGCACCAAAATTTGTATCATTTTGTACTAAATTTTGCATCAAATCAAAATTTTTCTCCAATTATTACAATAAAATTTACACCAAATGAACAATGCTTTATTATTTTATTCATTCTTTCAATTTTTGCCAATGTATTTATTTAAAAAAATTATTTTTTTATTTTATAATTATATAAATTACTAAATCATAACTTCATTAAATTAACAAATATATTGATTACTAAATTATTCAGGTGTTTTATATATTATGTTAAATTGACAAAAATAATTGATTATATTATTAATTTATGATAAATAATTACGTTAAATTTATAAAAATAATAAACTTTAATAATATAAAATTTACGTTAAATTAAACTTTAAATGTAAACTTTACAAATTAAACTTTACGTTAAAATGACAATTATGTTAATTATTAATGATTAAATTATTAAAAATAATAAACTTTAATAATATAATTAATAGTGTAATTTATTATTATTATTATTATCATCATCATCATCATCATCATAAAACGAAAATGACATAAATGCCCTTAATCATTATCTTTGAAAAATGAAAAATAAGGGCAAAACGGACATTGAACCATTTGGTGCAAAAAATAGTGTAATAACACTATTCACTTTTCATCATTTTGCACCAAAATGGTGCAAAATTTGGTGTTCCATTGGAGCAACTTTGCACCAAAAAATGGTGCAAGGGTGTTAGCATTGCAGTTGCCCTAGCCTAAGATTAGGTGCTTGGAGATACAGTTGTGCTGCGTGTACAGCATTTATACCCATACACCCTCTCACAATGTGAGGGGCCCATATGAGTGAGAGGGCCATACATCATGGTGTACAAAAAAGCTTTATTGATATAAATAATTGCTTGCATTGTTTAGGCTTTGGCTGATCTATCACGCTGCAACTGTCATAATTTATTAGAAATTGATTTTATCTTTTCTTGGAATCATCTGTTACAATTTGACTTGCACACCTTTTTTATATTTTTTTTTCCTCATTTCTCTTCATGAAACCACGTACTTCTAGTGCGCAGGGCAAAGGTTTTGTTACAGGAAGTACTGAAAGTTTACAGTTCCAAATTCATGAAAACTTCTCAAATGCTTGGAGATCATTTAGCTCTTTTCTGGGTTGTAAAATCTCAACCTCCTTTTGATGTAAGAAGGTTCACTGGAAGAGAGGCTTTCTTAGATGAAATTGGTGGTGCCTCGGTGCTTTTCTTACCATGTTCTAGTTACAATTGGACACCACCCGGGGGTGCAGGTCAATTATCATACTCTTGATTCTATTCTCCTCCTACAATTTTGTCATGGCCGGCAGGTCGCCCCAGAAGAGAGGAAACACATCACTCATGTCTCTTCGATCAGAATAAGCCTGTAATTGATAATTATGCTACATTCTTTTTAGTAGATTTTCATCTCAACGTTCAGATTTCTATCCGAATAATGTTATTCGCACAAAGATTTAGCTTAGCGGATGAAGAGGAACTAGTTTGGGTACGCAAAAAATTCTGCCTTGAAGATAATCTGTGGTGGTTCTCTTAGACGCTATTTAGCTTAAAATGTTATTATGATCTAAATACAAGTGAAATGACTTAAAAGTCCTCATCATCTTCCAACAAATTTGAGTTCTAGGACAAACTTTCAGTCAACAATGCTTATGTCGGCATACAAACTGACACTGACGTAATCAGAACAGAGTTCTCTGTTGACAAAACTCTTTGCATGGTAATGGAAAGAACAAAATTTTGGACATGTTTGATACATAGTACTGAACAACATTATTAATCACGTGTTTTGTTACTGTTATAAATATTGCATATCATACATGCTAACATCAGTGACAATGGACCGGTCCTGATCTCGTGTCATCAGTGGGTAGAATAAAAACTTCCTACTGCTGAATAAAGGAAACCTCAATTACAGTTCTCTAAAACAATCATAAATTCAGAGAACCATAACAAAAGTTCTATTGTCACATCAGCAGTGAGAAGTTTTTACCTTGCAGGGCAGGAGATCAATTCTAGACAATGGACTACAAGAATATCTTCATCTATTGACACAAGTCTTCACTGAACCGCTTAACAGTACCTAATTTGCAGTACATTATTCTGCCTCAAGACAACCTACTCAACAAAAGTACAGCTTGAAGTTAAAAGGCCATAGAATTGAAGATTTTTGCTACATGCCAGTAGAAGTGTTGCTTTAATAATGAATCGGCTATACTTGCCTTTTAAGTGTTACTAGTTCTTGTCATCAATTTAACTCCCACCTTTTTTTCTTTATCAGATACATTACCGTTGGAACATCACACCTTTAAAAGCATTCCGTGCCTTATTCAATCTGTTTCTAGATTTCAATTGTCTGTAATTACACATTACACATCTTCTTTCATATGTTGTGAAAAGCAGCAGTGATTACCGACAAGAAACCTAATTCAGAGAAGAAATCCTTCTGGCTTTTAAAGCCCCATACTTGTCCTGCCCCTACAATTAAAGAAATCTGGTTAATTCTAACTATGTACTAGTTAACTACAATTGAAGAAATCTCTGAATCTGATTTCAGCTAAAATTTTCTTACAAGACATTTTCACAAATTACATACCTATATAGAATCTGATAGTTCCTGAGTAAATAATCCGATTGATAAGTTGGAAGGTAGACTTTTACTAGATGAAATTTCCTCAAGACAGCCTGTTGAAAATGGTTTAACTAAAGTTTCAAAATCATATTCAGCTAGAAATCTCATCAAAAAGGCTCTCATCTAATGATCACGTATTTCTGACAAATTGACATCTATTCTGACCTAAGTATAGAAAGATCCTAGTGAAAGATATTTCTTGGAGATCAAACATAGATTCATCAACTAAATCCTCGATATCCTCAATTCAACGCTTCCAAGTACTAGCAGCAACTATAAGGATCCAAATATCATAAAAGCAAAAACAGAAAGTAACGGATTTTAACCAACATAGAGCTTCTTAAGTATACACATGGTAAGATGATGCAACGGGATCAATAAGCACATCGTAAATGTACTTATGCTTGCAACAATTAAAGTGAGTAATCTTTTAACGAATCTAGACACAGAAGGCAACAGCCAACCATTACGTGCTATTTTATTTGAACTTCATATAGGTTATACAATTCTATCAATGAACAAATTGCTCTATCAGTCATGAATTCTAAAATGATAGAACTACAACAATTACATTCCATCGAGTGAAATAGTTGGGTTAAGTCTTATGGTACACATCAGAACCCGCATGCAAGCAACCGTGATCGAACTTCTTCAATCCCGTCTGGAGATCTGTCGTGGGCTTATATCCAAGCTCCCTGTGAGCCAAGCTTATGTTAGCATGTGTGAACTGCACATCCCCATTCCTAGGCAACTTTATAATCATCCTCTTTGCCTTCACCTTGAGTAACCTCTCCAAAATGCTCACAAGATCTGAAACAGGTACAGGAGATGTGTTTCCCAAATTGTAAAGACGTAATTGTGCAGGCCCCTTCTTCTTGCCACTACTGCCAGTACTCTTCTCAGCGGTATCCAATGCCCCCAAACAACCCTTCACAACATCGTCAATGTAAGTGAAATCCCTCGCAACTGTACCATGATTAGGTCCCTGGAAGATTGGAATTGATTTCCCCTTCAAAATATCCCTACTAAAAAAGAAATATGCCATGTCTGGCCTACCCCAAGGTCCATAAACCGTGAAGAACCTCAATCCAGTAAGCGAAAGACCGTATATATGGTTATAAGTATGCGCAATCTCCTCACCAGCCTTCTTAGTTGCAGCATATAAACTAGCAGGCTGGTCAGTCCTATCCTTCTCCGAAAAAGGCACCTTTGTATTCAATCCATAAACAGAACTGCTCGAAGCCCACACAATAGCAGGCTGAGGATTTGCGCTCTTGCAAACCTCAAGCAAACTAACAAAGCCTGCAACGTTGCTATGAATGTAGGAGCTAGGATTTTCCATGGCATAGCGTACCCCTGCCTGTGCAGCCAAATGCATAACATGGGTAAATGGGACAATGTCGAAAAGCTTGATCAAGAGGGCAACATCATTGATATCACCCTCCACAATGTAAATACCCGTGCGCTCCAATAGAGCCTGCCGTGCCCTTTTAAGGGACGGATCATAGTAATCATTGAAATTATCGAGCCCCAGAACGCCATCACCCCTGCGCTTGAGAGCAACCGATACATGTGTACCTACAAAGCCAGCAGCCCCGGTAACCAAAACAGAAAACCCATTTCTTGACCTGATTTTAGCTGAAGCCTTGACCCTTTTTTCCCACACGGGACCACCATAAGAACTGGTTCTTAAAGACCTCCTCGAGAGATCTGAAGGGACTTGTGATGAAGATGATGATGATCTAAAAAAGAACATAAAGATCAACCCAATGAAAACAAAAGACCAAAACGTGAGCTTGGCTAAAGAAGAATAAAGCCTTTGCCTATGATATGAAGATTTTTCCATCTTGAACTTCCCCGGGGTTGATGGAATATTATCAATGTGCATCATCTGGGACATTATTCTCTCAAAATCTTGAAGATTTGGAAAACAACCAGTTTCTAAATCCCCTACTTTGAGACAAATTTGCTGATCTTAGTCTGTTCAGATTTTCTTGAAACAACAGAGCAGTGCTAGGGTTTGAAAATAATCATCAAGAAATCTGAAAATTTCTTTAGGATAAGAAAATAGAAGATACAGATGGCTGGATTGAGGTTTGCAAAGGTATTATGGAAGTCATATTTTGTGCTTTTATTTATGCGAATCTTCTTGTTGCTTGAAGGCACTGCTGGTTGTTGCTATGCTAGCGGTGACAATGGATTTTTGTTTTTTGTTTTTCCTTTTTTCTTTTCTTTTTGCTTTGTATTAGAGGCTCTTTATTTGGTTGTACACAGTAAAAGATTTGAGATTTGATAATTGATCAAGAAATTGATGATTAGAGAGAGAGGGAGAGAAACAAGGTTTGAATAAAATATAAAAAGGATTAATAGAGGGGGGGTTTGAGTGGATTAAAATGTATGTTTGCCTAGGATTAAACGAGTTACTTATAAGTAAATAGTATTACAATAAGTAATTCTTTTTGTTGGGCAGAATTAAAAATAAATAAAACTATTTTAAGTAACAGTTACTTTATAGTCAAAATAAGAACTTTTATTTTCAATATAATAGTCTACCAAAATAATCGATAGGAGAAATTGGAATATATATGATTAGGATAAAAACTCAACAACTTAAAATTTGTTAAAACAACTTTTGAATAAGTTTATTCGCCTCAATCGAAAGCTTGTTTTACGTTTTCATTTATAAATGAAGAAGATTATTTAATTATTTTTTATTTATTTATTTTATCTTCTGACTCTTGATCTTTTATATTTTTCGGATCTAGTTTTCTAAAAGGTTACTTTTGTTAAAAGGTAGAAAAATATTTATTAAACATGTTTAAAAATAGAAAATTACTTAAAAGTAAGTTTTAATTTTGAAGCCATTGGATGGTTCTTAAACTTCTCACAATTAAACACAAGGCCATTGAATGTTGTGGGAGATTTGTGGGGATCCCAAATCCCTGATTAATAATTGATTAAAAGATAACGAGGGATTTGATCTCTTAATTATCATTCAATAAATTCATCTTTCCCTTTTATTTGTATATTTAATTTTATAGAGTGATTTATTTTTTAGACGATTAAATGGAAATATTGCGATGAATATAATTTTGATAATTCATATATTCATGCTGGTGAAAAATGATAATGGCAAAATTTCTTTTTTCTTTTCTTTTTTAACATCATTCGAGTATTTATTCCCTAAAATCAAAAAAACTTTTTGTCGCTTTCTTTTGACGACATCATTTTACAATAATTAGTGAAGTAGCCAGACCATCTCAAGTCGTTAAGTTCACCCTAATAACTCTATTTATATCCTTTTTAATCTGATATAAAGAATGAATAAAAGAGGTTTATCATGAAATAACACCAACATTTTTTTTTTTTTTTTTGTTAAGTTACTAACTCCAAGTTGTGATAACGAATATTAACAATTCCAAGGTCTTAGTTTATAATAAGGATAAGAAAGTATTAAATTTCGTAACTTTATAGTCACTTCTTTTGGTCTTTCTCCATCTTCTCAGTTCTAACACGGGCTCGAAAAAATGGCGACATTGAATCGACTCAAAACGTAACCACAAATTAATCAAGCAACCTTTCTTGATATAATTTCCATGTTCTTTCTCTAGGTTCATTTTTTAAATATATTTGATATTTCTTTACATTTATGTGTATATTTAACTCTGTACGGTTGACTGGGTTTGAGTTTTCTTTAGTCCCTTTTAGGTTGTGGGGTTGTGATGGGTGTAAAAGGGAAGTGAGACTTGATTGGATGGATCACAATTGTGTGCAAACAAACTTTAATACAAGGCAAAAAGTTGCATTTTCAAGAACCCTAATTTAGTAATATGATGTCCTATTTTTGTTTGTCTTAGATCAGTGGAATATTTATGTTAAGATTATTGTCTAAAATCACTGCACCATACCACCAATTACCTCCTCATTGTGATTTTGAAGTAAAAAGAATTAGGTCCAAGAAAGCGCGAGTGTTACACATCACGATAATATAATAGTTTACTTAATGAGTCAGACTTCCACTACTGAATTGTATTACATAATAATAATAATAATAATAATAATAATAATAATAATAATAATAATAATAATAACAACAACAACAACAACAACAACAACAACAATAACAACAAGAAGCTAAAATCTTGTATATTGTGATGTCCAATTTTATTGAGCACTGGATGTAAAGTTATATTTAGAGCCTGTTTAGGAGTGATTTTGAGAATTGATTTTTTGACCGTTAGATAAAAAGTGGGGTCCACCTGTGAGAGAAGAAGTCAAATATGACGGCTGAAATAGTAAAATAACAGTCAAAAAATCAATTTTTTGGATGAAAAAATCAGGCCCAAACAGTCCCTTAGTGCTTGCTTGGTAGAGATTTTGATAATTGATTTTTTGACCATTAGAGATAAAGTAGGTCCTACCTGTGAGAGAAAAATTCAAAAACGACGGCTAGCATAGTAAAGTAACGATCAAAAAATTGATTTTAATTGGATTAATAGCTATACCAAACAAGATCTTAGTACATATTTGACAAAATTAAACAAAATAACATATAAGATCATAAATATTATTGTTGCTTAAAATAAGTCAAAGCACATTTGGTTGAATAAGTTGATTAAGAATAATAAAAAAAAATAAAATTGTTTAATGAGTAAATTGATACGTGGGTTAAAGAACGAAAAATAAATAAAAATTGTAAACATGGGCAGCACACCTGCACCATGTGACAATCTGGTAGGGATCCAAGTCAAGACAAGCATGACCCAGCGATAAAGTTATTTCTTTACAAGTTGGCATCATGTTTCATGCTTGTTGATGTTGAATTCTTTGTAGCAGCCTACCATCTTAATTATTATTATTAATTTCTTTTTCTTTTTTTTCTTTTTTTGAATGTAAATCAATCAAAAACTTGCAAAACATTAGACTCAACGAGCTTGGTCGACTGTCGTGGTAAGATAGAATCGACAATCAAGGATGGTTTGTAGAGATTTTTGCATATTTTTAAACTTATAATGTAAATATAATGGTTATATGAGTCTCTAGCTGTATTGTAGTTATAGTGAATGATTTGATCCATCACAACCTTATTTAAACATATAATTAAAATGTCTTATTTTTGAAATTTGTGCTTGTGTTAGTCAAGATGGACATTAGAGTTACTCAAAACGGGTGCGCCAAAATTTTACCGGTAGAGTCTTTTTGCACTTGGACATGACAAGTACAATACCTGTAGGGAATTTATACCCAAAATCGAGAGCAACACTACCAACACAAACGCAAAGTGCAAGAAAATAAAGGAGCACAGAAAAATGTTCACCCAGTTCGGCCCGAATGGCTTAATCCGAGGGGCTCAAAGTCAACCCAATCCAATAGTGCAATTCCACCTCCTAGAGAGAGTATAGTACACAGAACCAAAGAGCACAACCAGATCAATCATCGATCCAAACAGATCTCAAATCTGGACACAACACACTGCTTCCTCACAAACCGGCCACAACTATACAAGTGCAGCGGATTGCCTACACAGACTGTCTCCTAGTTACTGTAGCACACGAGATTTACAAGAATCTTAGAAGAGAATAATAATCTCCAAATTCTAAGGGCCAAGAAGGAGGAAGAAGAAAGTCTCCCTAAAATAGAGAGAGAAAAACGAGAAAAATTCAAAGGCTAGTCTGAGAATCTCCCCCTCCCAATCGTGCACCCTAGATGACCAAGGGCAAGCCATATTATGATCTCCACCATTCATTCAATTGAACGGTCCACACACAGTCAAAAGAAACACAGATCCAAGTTATATTGAATGAACGAATCAGGAGCTGCCACGTAACGTCCACCAACTTAAGGTGCCGTAAATGTCCAAATTACTCTCTCATAAGTTACAATTTTGGAGAAACACGTTTTCTCCTTCAATACCAATCAATAATTGATCTAAATAACAAGCTTTAGAGCATAACCATTAGCTTTTTCAACAAACTTGTAAGGATTTGTTTAACAAAATTTTCAAAAAGTCTAAAGTTACTTTTGAAATTAAGAAGCTACTTTAGAACATGTTTGAATAATTTTTTTAAAGTACTTTTCCTGATTAGAAGAGCTTTTACAAAAAGCGGACCTAAGATACCTTCTTCAAGAAGCTCTTCCAAGCAGAAGATGAAAACCAACCAAACGGTCCTAACCTTCGCTAGTGAAGTTTTACTTCTTTGCCTTCTCGGCTTTGCCCACAGGTAGCGCCACCTATGCTAAATAAGGAATTTGCCCTGATACTAATAGACTGAAAGAATTCTATTTAGGACACCACCAGAAAATAGAACAATATTAGTTCCAACTTTCAACAGAAGGTAGCAGTTGCATCCAATCTTGAAAGAGTCACAAAAAATTAAATAGAAATTTCTTATTTCAAACAGTGTTAATAATAATTAATACAGAAGAAGAAATTGCTCAACATCTTGACACATATTTGAACATCGTTACATGACAAAACTTGGCACATCGAAAAACTGTTAATGCTTCGAGGACTCTTCGAGGACTTCAAAATAAGTCGGGAAGGTTTTACGAGTGCAACCGGGATCTTTAATCGTGACCGGAACATCTGCACAAGCAGCAAGAGAAAAGGCCATTGCCATTCTATGATCATCGTACGTGTCTATCGCTGTCACATTCAGTTTCTCCGGTGGAGTTATTACACAGTAATCTGGCCCTTCTTCAACTGTCGCTCCCAACTGAAATTTTGAAGAGAATGGGAAAAGATCTCAAAGGACTAGTACCAAATAAAATATTAAAAATTAAGCACTTCCAGTAACGATATACCATATGCAGTCAGTAATTAGGGGTTAAAAAAATGTTAGTGAAGTTTCACATTACTCGCGGAATATAATTTTGTTCTAAAGGTCACTTAAATTTGGGTTTTATATCAGTTTGGTCATCAAGTTTGAAATTCATTAGTTTTTCCAACAAAATGGATGACGTGAAAAATAATGATCCGACGTACCATATGTTAGAAACAGGAACAAGAATTAGCATTTTCTTTAATTCAGTCACAAGATTCTTTGCTGGATATTCATGTGTATGTTATAATCAAGAAAGATACATTTTTAGAATTAACACACATCGGTATTCAATTTCTTGATAAGATCTAAATCGTGAACTTCAAGCTTTTTAATTCATGAACTTCCAACGCTCCCAATTAAAATATATACTACACCAACGTGCGGACATCTTTTCAATTAAATTCTAGATTGGTTAGACAGAAAAAATTAAGAAAACAATAAAACAGTTTTTCTTCTCTTTTTTCGTCCCAAAAAACCGCCCCCTTGGTCTTAAATATATAGAC